TTGCGAAAATTGCAGTGTGATTGGGGTGTCCAGCTGCGGTATGAAATATTAGCTCAATAGCACCCCCTATTGAGTAGCCCCAACATTGGGTTTCACCTAGCTGTATGAAATTTGGTAGGTATGTGGATCGTGATGGGACGTACAAAAAATCCTCTTGGAATTTTTCACTAAACCAAACAGGAAGTCGGCCATTTTGAATTTTATGACGTTTTTTGACCATTTCAAGGCGTCGTACTTTAACGAACTCCTCCCAGAGATTTGACCCGATCAACTTCAGATTCGGTCAGTATGCTCTTGAGACCTTGGCGGTGAAAAGTTACTCAAAGATCAAAAAGTTATCTAACTATGTATCCGTGGCGGCAAAAAAACACCATTCGCCATGAAACGGGAAGTTGTTGTAACTCGGCCGTACATTGTCTAATCTGCTCCAAATCTCTCATATGTCATAACATCCTGACCCCGAACACATCTATATGATAATTTACAATCATAGTAATAGCGCCACCTAGTGGCAACTGGAAGTTGTTAGTTGTGTACTTTGACATCCTGCTCCTCTCAGATTAATCAGATCTCTTAAGACCTTGATAATGCTTCATTGTGAAAATTGTAAGAAGTTGTTGAAGGGCGGCGACGTGGCGGCTCGGCGAATTTCGATCCTTCGCCATGAACGAATAAACTGATGTAACTCGACTCCACATCATCAGATCTTTACCAGATTTCACATGTTTGATTAGACTCCAGTCCTGAAGACATCTGCAGGCAAATTTTGAATCATAGTCATAGCGCCACCTACTGGTAACAGGAAGTTAAAGTCTTTATACTTTGGCTTGTTTTTCTTAGTAGGTAAATCAGATCAACATCAAGTTAGTTCCACACAAATATAAGAAGTTCATAATGCCAGTTCATGAAGCTTTTGATGTTTCGTCAAACGCCGTTGCCGTGGCGACGCAGTCTTCGCTGTGAAAAACGAAGGTCATTTTGAGAGGCTAAAAATGCTCGAAACATAAGCAAACCTGGCAAACAGATTACAAGCCCAAAATTTAGTTATATAATATGATTTTATTGGTTCAGAGTGGCAAATCGGCTCAATAGCGCCCCCTACAAAATTTCGAAGAAGCAGCCCTCGCAGTATGTTTCACATATATTTATAAAATTTGGTAGGCTCATGTATCACATTTGGACTTAAAAAAAAGTCTCTTGGAGCCATGCTCTAAACCCAACCCGAAGTCAGCCATTTTGAATTTTGTATGAATTTCTAGTGTCATTTTTGTCATTTCCAGGCGCTGTACTTTAACGAACTCCTCCTAGAAAAATAATCGAATCAACTTCAAATTTGGTCAGAGCAATCTAAAGAACTTTGTGATGAAAAGTTACTCAAAGCTTGTTGTTTCGTGAAAAGACGTTGCCGTGGCGACGCATTCTTCGCCATGAAAGATTAAGGTGATTTCGAGAAGCTAAAAATGCTCAAAACATAACCAAACTTGTCACACACATTTAAAATCCTGAATGTAGTTATCTAATGTGATTTTAATGCTTCAGTGTGGCAAATCGGCTCGATAGCGCCCCCTACAATATTTGACGATGCAGCCCTCGCAGTACGTTTCACCTAGATGTATACAATTTGGTAAGCAGATGTATCACATATAGACTTTAAAAAATGTCTCAGGGGTCTATCCTCTAAACCCAACCGGAAGTCAGCCATTTTGAATTTTGTGTGAATTTCTAGTGTCGTTTTTGAAATTTCCAGGCGCTGTGTATGATGGTCACAGAAATGGATGGCCGAGTCAACCAGAGTCCTGCCAGTACACTTGACGTGCGTGAAGTTGCGTGGGCCCGATCAATGTTGCTTGCAGCTTTAATTTAAGAGTTGAAATATGTTTTATTCTATTTTCATTATTAATAAATCCATCAACCTTGTCAAGGTCACACTTCACGTTTATTTTAGTCAGGTTACTGTAATATAAAACATAATCTGACACAGAATGAAAGAAATGTATTTTGTTCTAATTATCTCAATGAATGAATCATGAAACCAGCTTTAAAACGCTACATATTCATATTTACTATATAATGACAATAACTCCTGCATTGTGTTTGATTACATCATGAAGTCATCTCTTGATTTATGGAAAAAATATGTATTTAAATCAAATAAAGCCAGAGCTGCAGATGCACCCTGCTGGGAGCAGACCACTGGTGTCAGAGAGACCAGATCCAGCACCAGATGCTTCTGTGTGAGGATTTAACCTGCAGCTGTCATCAGGATCATTATGACAGGTATGATCATAAAGATATCATTCAATAATAATTATAATAATTATACTATAAACACATTCAACTGGTCTTCAACTGGTCTTCCTCTCTGAATAATTCATGTCTCACGTCAAAGACCGCCTGTCTCCAGTTTGCGCCAAAACTTTGAGTCATTCGGACACTTCACCCAAAAAAACCTCAAATCCAGAAAAGAAGGAGAGACTCAGAGGACCAGGACTCTGTCAGGACCAGGAGTCTGTCAGGACCAGGACTCTGTCAGGACCAGGACTCTGCAGGACCATGGCTCTGTCAGAACCCGGACTCTGTCAGGACCAAGACTCTGTCGGGACCCGGACTCTGTCGGGATCCGGACTCTGTCAGGACTCTGTCGGGACCTGGACTCTGTCAGGACTCTGTCGGGACCGACAACAGGACAAGCTGCTTCCTGCAGGACTCAGAGACTCACTTCAGCCTGAGACCAAAACATTTAAAGTGTCTCACCTCTGATCCGCTCCGGTTTCTGGTCTGGTTTCTGGTCTCTGTCCTGGTCTGGTTTCTAGTCTCTGTCCTGGTCCGGTTTCTGGTCTCTGTCCTGGTCTGGTTTCTGGAGTGTGCAGGTCTTTGTCCCGGTAAGTGAACCAGTGAAGTCCGGAGTTGCTCTCCGTCACACTGGGAGCTCTGGGAGGAGAAACATGAAGGTACACGGCGTAATAACGGACGGTGCTTCCGTTTCTAAATAAAAGTTTCAAAATAAAAGCAAAGTTTGCACAAACTTCCGCCCCACCCAATAAAATCCATTATGTTCCAGTTATTTTAGACAACCCACAATCAAATCAGTAATTGTTGTTAGTGTTATTATTAAACAATATAATAAAATAACTAGATATTTAAGGTAAATATATGTTTCCTTTATGTGAATTAATAATCTATCAATTATATAATCAATCAGTGAGTAAAATAATACAACATACTGATAAAGACAATAGTATGAAAATATATAACGAAATACATAATAATGATTTAAGAAGTGTTCAATTAAATAAATGCATATTTGAAAAGTAGGAAATCATATAAATGTGCTCATTCTTCCAATTGATTTAAATAATAAAGTGTACTTCATTGACATCAATGATCACAGACAGAGAAGAAGAACGACAAACAAACTAATATGAACAATAAGTTATCATTATAGAGGTAGTGTATGACCTGTGTTACTGCATCTCTTTTTATTATGAGGTCTTGAATTCTAAACATATTTCTGATTTTTACTGTTTATGAAACAAGTTGTTGTGCTGTTTTACTTTGAAGTTCTGTGTTGTAATGTGCAGTTTCCTGTCGAGGCCTCTGTGCTCTCATTGGATAATTGACACACGTTGAGTCATCTGTGACGAATATAAAACCTCCTGATGGAATGAAATAGAGTCTTTGATGGAAGTCGTTTCCCTGATTCCAACAGCTGTTTCCTGTTTAATCCATTAATCCTCATCAGATCTGGTCTAATCTCTGCTTTCACTCAGCTTTCTTCTTCTCTTCCCTCCACTGACCAGAAAACACAAAACTCCCTCAAACTGCTCAACCAACGACACGCAGACAACTCACTGTTCAGGTCACCGTGGTGATATTATGGTCTGTACACATGAACTCTTCTGGAGTTTCTCATCCTAATACTTCACTGTTGTACTTGTACCTGGGTGGACAGCAGTGAGGGAGGAAGTGGACGTTACGTCCTGTCCTCTGAGAGCAGAATAAGAAGCCGGACAGTTTCCTCCTCGAAGCTCAAACAACAATCACAGCTCTGCAGACAGGAAACAGGAAGTGCCTGAGACAATACAGAGAGGATCCGGAGACCAGCTGCTTTTTTTTAGGCGCCAAAGACAAAGGAAGCAGTGGCACGTAAAGCTTCCTCATCTCTGCAGGAAAAACGCCCTCAGCAGCCGCCTGCAGGAACTCTGTAACACATTCAGAGAGCTGATGGAGCTGCAGACGTCTTCACTGGTCCAACGAGCTCTTCATCTGCACGTTTAGTTAGACCTCTGTGTACCTGAACACCCCTTCATCTGCTCATG